TTGTAGGTAGTTTTTTTTTATTCCTTAATATAAAAATGAAAATTTTTAATAGTAAGGGACATTTGAATTATGTCCTCGCAAATAATTTAGGGACCCATCTTTACTTAGCAAGATTTATTGTGCTTGCTACGCGATTCAAGACTTATATGTTCAATATTACTTTTGTATCCATTATTGATATTCTCTTTGTTAGACTTTGGATTCACGAATTACAGACTATCCGTCACTGTAAATACCTCCAATACTGAACAAAGTTTTTCTCACAGTTTTTCCATATGATTTTTCCTTTATCAGGGTGTCAATCAAGTTTTCCTTATGTCGTTTATCCAGATTTCACATGTTAAATGATTATCTCTCCTAATTATATTAGATCAATCCATTCAAGTTTGCTTATATGCTTGTTTTCCTTAAATGATATGTAGTGGTGAGGTGAATTTTAAGTTGCAGATTTATAGCGGCCAAAAGATCTTTTTGTTTCCATCAGTTTCTCAAATAATTTAATATTTAAGAATTGATTTTTGTTCAAAAATTGCTAAACTTTCCAAGTGCAAGTTCAATCATCATTTTCAAAGATTTTTGCATATTATTTTTCCAAGGTATCCAATTTTTTTAAAATTATTGGATATATACCTATGTATTTTCTATAAACTTGTTCTCTCTATATAACGTTGACAGGTCATAGCCTAGTGGATCCCTAGGTTATTCTACTTTGGAGATAATTCATATATCCAAGGATATTCGTCATTTTTGTTTCTTTTAAACCTTCCTCTTTGTTTTAATATTGGATACTGATTTTTCTTTTCTTTTTTTTCTCGCTTTAGCTTTTTTTAGATCATGTCTACCAACAATACTTCTCGTCGTGCTGGTTGTCGTGGTGGTCGGGTCAACTGTCATAGTGGTCGTGTCCTCTTTCCTTCTTCCCATACAAGTTTTATGGCTATCATTCTTTGTCCCTTTTGTGTACTTCAGGTGGCTTCTTCTGTTGTTTCTTTAGCTTTTGCTCCTATTCCTGATCCTATTGAAAGCCCTGCTCCTGCTCCTGTTGAATCCTATGCTCCCTCTTCCTGTGACCGGTGTGTCACTTTAGAATAAGAGTTGAATACTTAGCAAAGAACTTTGGATAATTTGAATGAATCTAATAGAAATATTAGGCATCAATTGGCTGGGTTAAGTTTTTATAGAAGAAATAGACCTCTGGAAAGAAATATTCATCGGTTGATTCAAGAGTATAGATATTTGGCAAGGTTAACACAAGGATATAGGGTAGTGTTAAGAAATGAGTATTATATCAATAGACATCATAGAAGTATATAGATTTTAAATATTTTTTTTTGATAAGTTGTAAAAGATATAAAAATTATAAAAAAATTATAAAATAAATAAAAAATGTTTAAGTATAAAATAAGTTGAAAGAATAATATTAATCACTTTGATAATTTCATAAAATGCTATAGCCTCAAACATCATCCTGCTACAATTTTGCGCTTCATGACTGACCAGCCTTTAACCAGCATATGCTATGGATTCCTAAGAATCAAGGTCGTCTACAGCTATGTAATGGCTTTATGAAATTACCCAAGCAAATAATAATATTTTCTCAAGTCTTAAAAAAAAATAAAGTAAAACGATATGTGTGTTACTAAATGCTAATAGAGTATGAGGGATAATCAAAGGAATAATGAAGAAATTATAAAGGAATTGTAAAAGGATAAAGGTAATTATTAACTTCGCTTTTGACTTTTTATTTTTTATTATAAAGGAACGGGGATTTCATTGCAATACGATTCTATTATGGTGAGGTAATTTTTACGGGAGGCATATATGTTATCAAGGTAGATAAATGCTAATGGAAGTTTGTCGGTGTATGCTAACCATGTCTTGTTTTTGTAGGTCTTGATGCGGCTTTGTTGGTTGGTTCGGCGGCGATAAGATTTTCTGTAGGCTCTCTTTCTCTATTCTGTCGTCGTCTTTATTGTGCTGCTGGTGGTGGTATCATCATCGTCGGGGGCACGATTGTGATCACGATTATGATGGTATTCTGGTATTTTAATCTTTGGGTACGTGTATCGCCATCACTTCACTAACATTGGTCGGATATTGGACGACAAAATAAAGTTGACGTTGAAGTGTCAGCTGTAGAGGTCGTTCGATACCTGTCATTGTTGATGCAATGGGTCTCGAGAGATGGCAATGTCATTTGGTTAAATTAGTTTCAGTACGTTAAGTTCTTTTCTTCATAGTGAAATGATAACATCCAGCAGCCAACAACAACAAACATTCCAATATACTTCTGTTAGGGTTGTTCTTAGCAAATAGGATGATTACATCTGTAACAGTTTTCAACGTTGGTGTCGGATATGCATAGAATAAGAAAATTCAAATTGCCAATTCATCTTCAATCATGTCGGTCCTCAAGTCAGTTTCACTCGCAAGTTTCTCTCGACTCAGCGTTCGGCAATAGTATGAAAAGTCGTTTTGGATGGACGGTGTTTTCATCTTCAAGTAGTCAAACTCGAAATCCAATATATCAGCTAATAATTTCGTAATTGGGGGTGATGTGCGATCATGATCGGGATCACGATCACAGCCATGATAGCTTCCCGGCATTCACATCGGAGCTGTCATCTTCATGAGGTGAGGTAAGCATTCCGTTTGTTATTATTTTTGTAGCATTTGACTGGTTCGGGCATTAATTTCTCTTTTTCCTTTTCCCTATGTCACGATCGCTCCCTCAGCGATCTTGAACGTGGGAAGTACTGTTCTTGCTCGCACTCTCCCAGCTCACTATCTTTTACTGGCAGCAGGAGAGTATTCAATTCTTCCGTCTGGTACTTATCGTGGTTTCTTTGAGAGTCAATCAGTGGATGGTGTGTATTGATTGGGGCACGTGATCGTGATCATAATCGTGATCACGATTATGACAGCATTCCGGTGTTTCCAATCATCGGGGCTATCATTATTCTTGTTTTCTTTTTCTTTCTGTCGGAGTCTTGCTTGGTTTCATCCGCCTCCGTCACTTCTGCGGTTCGACGAATTCAGCGTTCCTGGGCTTGTCATCGTAATTCGTAGCATTCGTCGTTTCTGTCATTGGTGTCATTGGAGGTCTGTCCTGGTAAGTATAGTCTTGGTTGTTGGTGTTATTTTCACGTACTTTCGTTGATTTCTTTTCCCATAGGTCCTTGCGTCGTTGCGACGTTTGTCTTCGTCATGATTAGAGGGTGATGTGCGATTGTGATCATGACCATGATCACGATTATGACGGCATCGAAGTGTATTTCCAATCGTCTTGGTACAATTCTGGTAAGTTGCAGCATTTTCTTTCTTTTGCGGCATTCTACCATTGGCTTCTAACTCTTTCTTATCAGTCTTTCCCTAGCCCCATACTTCACGTTCGATTCGCCATCCGCGAGTTCTCCTTGACCCTCGGCGATATCCATCGTCCCTCGCATGTGCTACCGGAGTCTTGTCAGTAAGTTTTGGTTCTTTGCCTTCTGGTTTCTTCGCCATTCTTCTCTTTTTTTTCTGAACTGTCTTTTCTTCCTTTAGGAACTCGTCCCTTGATTCTTTCAGTGCCGTGGCGTTTTTTGATCGTCAGCATCCCGGTATGACCTTCGAGCCGACGACTTGTTGAGAGGTAAGCGGTCTCTTTCCTCTCTTTCTTTTTAGATTGTGTGTAGCCATCATTATTAAATCACGTTCGAACATACTTCCCTAGAGATCTTTTTTACCCAGAGGTTGTGAAGCACTCATCATTCGGGTAGTGCTTTCGTCAGTGATTCCATCGTCTTGCACCATTTTAGGAACCTTGTTGTATATTCATATTTACTGTTCCTATTCATTTTCTTGGCTTCTTTTTTGTATTTATGTGGACGACTAATACTGAATCAGCGTCGTCCCTCTCTTCACCGTTCTAGGTCGTGGCTCCGGCATTTCTCCACAACTGTCCAACATCCGGCGTTACCCTCGGGGCTGGCGTCGTGACAAGGCAAGTTTCTTCATTATTTTGGGTCGGTGGGAAGGTTTCTCTTGAGGTCACATGGTTTCTTTGAAAGTGGTATAGTGCAACATCGTTCATGCATTTATTATTATATTTTTTTTTTAATTTAATTTTTTAGAGGGAAGGCGCATATACTGCCGATCCCGTGATTGTCATTTTCAAGGCTTCGCTTTTCTTCTGCGCAAGCTATTCCGGAGCTTCTATCGTCAGATTTTGACTTCTTTTAGGTCGGGACGATGCTTCTTCCTCTATTCGACATATACCAGCAGCCGAATTCTTCATAGGTATCATCATTGGAGCGGAATTGATCTTCGTTTCTCCTATCGTCACGGACACAACGTCGCTTTCATCACTCCTGTGAAAATCAAACTTCCTCAAGGGCAATTTCTCAGGGGTGACAATCAAAGAGCATTCCATTTTTGGAACCTGATTGTCAAACTTGTGTCTAACGGATGAGGCGCATCTCACAGTCACCACCAATTTGTCATATTTCTTCCTACCTCAGGAAAAAAATATGGACAGAGAACTAATAGCAGGGAGACACTTTGTATGGATGAACCAATGTAGTATGCTAAAGTTCATAAGGATGTACTAAAATTAGTACAGTTTTGAGGTGTATGAGATCAAGCGAAAGAGGCAATGGTGATTTGTTTTGTAAAGGTCAAGTTATTTTATTAATAAAGAGGAAAGTTCAACCTTGCAATTCCAGGAGGAATTGGAGGCATTTATATACATATTTTGGAGTACATAATAGATAATAGTGGTAATATTGATAAAATAAATGTTATCTTTGTTAGAGCAGTTAACATACTTATAGCAAGTACAGGTAAATACTCTAGCGAAGGTATATATGGTAATAAAAATAATAAAGTAATATAAGATTCTAGAGGTAATATAGGTAATAAAGGTGATAAAGGTAAAGGTGGTAAAGACATAAATCAATAGTACAAAGATTATTCTAGAATGGGCAATATTACAAGGGTAAATGCTAGCAAAAAGTAATATAAGGGGCAATATAAATCTTGAGTGAAAATCACATGTAACAATATATAAAATAGTATTAATTGAAACTTTATACAATATTTTAATTAGTATTAATACTTTCGGTACTTTGGTTCAATATCGATACTTTAAATTATCATATCGAAAATTTTCAGTAATTATCGATACCGATACTGAAAAATTTTTTCGATATCAGTTTTACAAAATACCATACCGAATGATACCGATCAGAACCATAGTATTATCAATATTGATTTGTGAAGTGTCCAATGTTTCTGGTGACATGTGATTTCAGTTGTGAATTGTCTAATTGAGTTTGATGATACTTGGACTCAGGAAAGGTTGCCTATTATGGGGTTGTATGGTTTTGAACTATTTTTTGTTCTTTTAATCAAAATAGCGATTGCTTCTTTGGTATTAATTTTCCTGATGCATCTGTTTTGTTTCCCTTGTGTGTCCATTCTGCACCCACTATATTTTTTGATAGGGAAATCATCCGATATCTGTGTGAAGTGTTAGGCCTTGAATATGTCATTGGTTACTCTGACTCATTTGTTAATCTTTCCTATATAAATATTGTAATTGATTATTATGAATATACTGTATATCTGTGGCATTTGATACTACTCTGATTGGTTAAGTCACATGTGGTAAAGGTGTTTATAGTGGTTTTGAAGTAATATTCTTTATTCCCTTGGAACCGGTAGATAATTTCTTCAAACCAATGAGGCTTTTGTCCTATGTATTTTGCTTCCAATCGGGTTTTGAAATATGTCTATATGATATAGTGTGAGCTTGTAGTATTGGTCACTTGTTCGATGAAGATAAGATTGTGTTTCCTCAGATTGTTTCTATTTTTGTTGTACCATGAGTTTGGCAAAAGTCTTTCAAGGAGGTCTAGTTGCTTTTTGAGATAGGAGTGGTTAACTTGAATCTCTTTATTACTTTGATATATATGTTATTTGACTTCAGGAGATGAAGGATATTCACTGTAAGATTTTGGTGAGGAAGTTTTATTATCCTATATTGTGTATCCAAGATGTTATATATTATACATGTGGTGTAAATTATTTTGCTGTTGACTCAATTGCCAAAATCCTCAAAAATAATTACGTCTGACTTAATTATTTTATATGTTTTAATAGTGACTCAATTAATTGCATCAAATAATTGCATCAATTGCGTCAAGGATCTACCAATTTTTACCACATATATATTATATATTAACCAAGCCCAGTTCTGCAGTTGTTAAAGTCTTGCTCTTATAATTTGTCCTGTGATGTTTTTTTTATTGAGGTCTTGAATTCATCTTGTTGTTTGTAGTTTTAACTGTCTATTGTAAATGTTGAATATTTTGTATCCTGTATGCAAGTAAATACCACTATTGATGGCTGTTATAGGGAGTCCAACTTTGTGTTTAAAGATTGATACAATTCTGCTGTTGATTTGATTGCATTCTCTTTGGGTTAGTACCATGTCTTGGATAAGATATTCGAGTGCTGACATGAGAACTTAATTGATTATATATCTGATTTGTTTGTCTGTGATTTTTTTCCACTGGAGAAGTTTTGTGATAAAGGAGGTTTTGTTGAGGATTAGTTGCTTCTGGTGTTTCTTGGAGCCTATACTTGTTATTCAGATTTCAAGTATTCTTATAGCCGTGTCTTTGTCTTGTGCCTGAATTGTATCTTCTAGGAGGTTAATGAAAGCAGATTTTGTGTTGTTCATTATTAGGAGAACAGATTTGTTTGGATTTATCTTGAGACCTGTGACATTGGCAAAGCTTTTAACCATATTTTAGATCTTCTGCATCTTACTTTTGGAGTTTGTGAACCAGGTAGTATCATCTATATATGAGATTAAAGAGATGTGTATCTTATTGTGATTCTATACTTCAAAGCATGTTGTGGGAGTTTTAGTCTCTATGTTATATTCCAATTTGTAATTTTCTATTTTTGTGATAAGTGGATCATAATAAATGTGCCAGAGAAAAGATGATATGGTATCTCCTTGATCTATACTCTGTTTTATAATAAATGGCTCTGTTAATTCATATTGTGTGATTACTTGGTATATGCACTCTGTGACACATTTCATGATAATATTGTAGATTTTGTTTGGAATTTTGATTTGATGCATAGCCTTGCTAAGCATCTTGTGT